TATGTGGCTGCATTGTGATCACGTTTCGCAATTAAGAGTTGTTATCATTTTCAATAATGCTTCTCTCAAAATACGCCAAAATGACTGTACGAACCTTGATTTTCTATTGTTACATAACGATTGCATTATTCGTGGATAAAAAGGTAAAACGGGATGGGGATTGAAACGACATAGATTCTTTGAATTACGGGGTTAGTTAGCAAGGTTTAATTTTTATTTCGGCTTAATTGCAACTGATCCTCATCAGCGGCGCAGAATCGCATCAATGTTATGCCACCGGGTGTTGATATTGAGTCGAACAACAAAATCATTTCTACGAAAATGATTCAAATTCCTGCTTTAGATGTAAACAACATATATACATTAGATATGTACTCGTGATTTCTTGAAGAGGTTATTAACTGTGCGCCGTTAGAACTTAATTGACTGAAGCTTGGCACTTTGGTCTTTTGCTTCTCCAATCACTAATGATTTATCTTTCGCGAGGCAAAATATTTCTTACTAAAAATTCTCTTTACAGGAAGTGAACAAGAGGTGTCGGTTGGTGTTGTTTTCTCCTCTTTTCTCCCTGATTGTCAATCTATCAAACACGAGAGCTTCCACTTTGGTCCCGAACGTCTAATTTATATATCATGGAAATTATGCTTTTGTATGGGAATAATTTGCCATTTGTGGTGCATTATTACCAAAATTAGTGGACAACTGTGCAAAGCTAATTGGTGTAGGGTCCCTAATAGTCCGCGTTGCCCGACTATAATGTTCTTACTTGATTTACACAACTTTAGAAATATAATCACTTAAGAGATAATGCCACCTAGCCACCTAGCCACCGGAGCGAACGTGTTTTCTTCGAAAGATTAATAGTATAAATACATTGGAATATATTTTTTACATATATATGTACATTTATTAAGATATTTAGAAAGAAGTTTACGTGGATTTAAGAAAAAGGATTGATAAAATTTCCAATTTTTCGCGTAAATCTATCGAAAACCGAGTGCAAGGGTAGTTGAAATGGATTTATCAAACCATTCAATTCTTCGTGTTTGATGGCAAAGTGAATTAATTGGGAGATACTCTTGAAACATGAAGTTAATCGGTTCAGAATTGAGGTAAATTAATAAAAAAGAAACTGAATTATGTTAATAAGAAGATGAAGCTAATGGGTTGGTACTATCCAGAAATCACATCTGTTCCTGTGTTTGTGATAGACTGGAGACTTGTTGAGCAATAAGATAGATGGATCTCAATAAAAAAAGAAATTGATACAGCGCGCCATTACAAGGTATACAAACACCCTCTTTACATTCGTCACAGCTCTTAAGAAGAATGCCGAAAACGTTAGGTTGCTTATTAAGCATCATGGTCTTCACGTCTCTTTCTATCGGTAACTGCCAAATTTCGAATAGTTAGCTTCGCTACATTAAACGAATAAGAAGAGTGATTAATGGTTAAAATATGAGCTTGAGACGGCAATTGTATGTCCTCTTTACATTAGAAGACTTCTCCATGGGCGCAAACATGCTTTACGGAAATTCTAATGATAGGTCAAAGTATGATTTGATAGTTGATTGGCTAATCTTTGAAATCATCAGTAGCTTTGATGGCATTTTCCGATCACCGTAATATTGTTTCGCGGAACGAAGCCTTCCGTTTTATTCAATTGTACTAAGACCTCAATGATGGCTCTTTATCCGATACTCATTTTTGCAACGCTCTCCTATGCGTTCGAGAGGATGTTAATGAAGGTTGTATTTTGCAAAGTCAGGCAGTAGTACTTTGCACGGTTTTCTTCCAATTTTTTCCTTATACACATAGTTCAACGTACTTTGGTGAAGAATTTTACTTCTGCACGAAATTTCACTTTAGTTGAGATTGGGTTGAAAATCATTATCGAAAAAATCAAGTGCGCTGGACTCATTGTTTTGAATATAAAGCCATGTGTATGCACGGCTCTCTCAGTATTCACTACCCGTTCTTCTGTCTTGCATTCATTTATGCAGTATTCGCTTTAGGAAGAGCAAACGGAAACAGACAGTTGATTACTCTTGATTAAGTACATTCCGACCTACAACAAGTGAGAGAAGCTTGCAACAGTAGTGTAAAATTAGAATTCCATCTAAAAAATGCAAAAAGTGCCAAAACATTCAATTAGACAATTGACACGCCCACCATCAGAAAAAAAAAAAACACAATTTTTATGCTAAGATGTTTCCAAAACCCAGAAGGAAATTCCAGAGGCCATATAAAATACATACTGCGGCCCGCAAAAACTAAGATATCGGCTCGGAAATTGAGAAAGATATTGGATGTCCTTGAAAATCGGTTAACTCGCTTACACAAGTACAGCAGTACAGTACAACATAAACTAAAAATATCTCTCCTTTCGCTGCTTTCTTGCTAATTGCTTTCACTGTACGCACGCAATAAATATGACGATGAACTCTACAGTTGATCCTGCAGTGCCCGTGTAAAACTTTGGAAAAATCCGCTTCACACAAGTCATTTTGTAGAGTATCGAAATTGTTTTTAAGCTTTTTTATTATGGGAAAGTTAGCAAAGATGCAGAGTCAGAGCCGCATATAATGTTCTTGCTTGCCGTTGCTTGAGACTGAGTTACTTTCTCACTTAATCCTTTTATTATGGCATTTATATCAGATTTATAAAATGTTTGCAATAAGTAGAAATATATGCTGCAGCGACCTATTAGAGCGCAAAGATATTTTTAATCAATGTGAGTTTTAGACAGTTATCGGATCGGTTTAGACAGTTATCGTAAACAGGTTAGCGGTCGGTATTAATACGGATTTGATACTACGAAAATGCCACGCCCCTCCTTTTTGTACGAAAACATACGGTTTTTTTTTTATAATTATTTTTGTGTATTTTTTTTTTTTTTTTTTTTTTTGTTTTAATTTATTTATTTGTGTTTGCTTTTTTCCACTAATTTTCTATTTTCGTATGCTTGTGTTTATATATATCATTTATTATGTCTCAGTTTGATATCATAATATAAAGAGAGAAAGAGATAGTGAAAAAGATAGAACGAGTTAGAGTTATGAAGAATTGAAGGAAGAGAAGAGAAAAAGAAGGTGAGCAGAGAGAATGTAGTTGAAATGCTTTTCTCTCTGGTTCTTTAACTCTTGACTTTTAATTTACAAAGGCTGATTAAGAAAGAGATAGACTAATAAAATGCATATACAATATATATATATATATATATATATATATATATATATATATATATGGCAGATGGCATTTAATGTTCATAGTATTGCACTTAGTACTTAAAGACTAATTACACATAAACCACATTACTGTGCGATATCAATAATTTATTTCTTTTACAAGTATTACGATTTATATCAAATACTTTATTTACTTCTTTTTATAAATAAATATACAAATAAATAATAATAACGAATAATAACAATAATAATAATAACAAGTGAGAGAATTATATTCGATCGTGACCGAATCTCTTACACCTATCACCGTTATCCTGAAATAGACTAAAGAAAAAGAAAAATAACTCAATTTTCATAACATTGGGGCGGGGGCGTGCACGATTCATTCTGTTGTTTAGAATAAAATTAACAAGCACAAAAAAAAAAAAAATAAAGAAAAAGAGAAAGAGAAAGAACGGAAAACAAACGCGTTCAAATTTGGTTATGTAGGCGTGTCCTTTGACCTATTGACCGTTTATTACCAAATTCTTTTGCAAATATGTGGACGATGTCTTAATTTTTGCTAACGGAAGAATGTTTACCACAGGTACTACATAGCTGAACAGGCGGACAAATGGGCAGACGAGCAGACGGACATGCTTACGTGCATTCCGAATATGATTTTATGGGCTTTTATTATTAAAAAAAACTACCTTTTGATACACTATAGTAATGGGTAGGCGTGGTCAATTTTTCCGGTTTCTCCGTAGGTAGGCATCGTCTCTAGACTATGCATTCTATCTGCATTTGCAGATTTATCTATCTGAGCACACAACCAATTGTCTATTCATTTTGACGAACCTTTTGAGGTGTTAATAATTTGCGTGCGTACTGCAGACGTGTCCCACCGATTTTGCCCATTCTCAATATCAACTTGCACGGTAGACAAAAAAGCTTTAATTATTCGGCCAGGAGAGCGCTTACAACAGACATTATACAGATGGATAGATGAATGGGCTTGAAACACTTCTGAATTTGATGCTGATCAGGAATATATAGAGTTTGTGGGGGCTCTGAAGCTTCCTTCTACGCGTTGCAAACGTTTCGACAAAATGAGTATACCTCTCATCCTTCGGTGATGAGTATAGTGTATAATAATAATAATAATAATAATAATAATAATAATAATAATAGTGACAATAATAAATGTAATAATAAAAATTATGACTATGTGAATATTTTGATTTTTTGTTTCCTATTTTACAACTAAATGAAAGCGTTGCCTTACAAATATGTACTCGTATATTTCATTATTTATCTGCTATTAATTGGGGAAACTGTGGCAAGACTTATTAATACCTTTACATACATGTACTAATAAATAATAAAAATCACATTAATTCCTTTCTTTTTTTTTAAATTCTATTATAAGTTTTACACAAATATAAGTTTTATTACATAAGGTATTATTTATTTACAATAATTCGTAATTACTATTATTAACTAAAAAATATTTACACATGTGTTTTTTTTTTTTTTTTTTTGACAGTTAAATAATTGATGCGTAGAATAGTTCTGCATAATAATGCCGTTATAAAGTTTTCCTTTTATATATTTCTTTTAAATTTTTCTAAATTTATTATTATTATTATTATTAATAATAAGTGTTTTATTTCCTTGACATATATTTACACAATATCCTTAATTAATTTTTATTTAAATATTTCGCATTTAAAGTGAAAAATACAGCTCTGTTTAATGATTACAACTTTTTACGCTTTGCAAGCTGAAAGTATTTTTATTTTTTCTTTTTCATATTTCATTATAATTTTGTTTACCTTACGAATTAAAAAAAAATGTTTTTATTTGTTTAACAACTGTTTTGGTTACACTAGCTATTAGAAAGTCCGAATGTTCCAAAATTTTTACTCATTCATTGCGATAACCGTAAGTGCAAGAAGAAAAGCATTTTGAATCAATTTGATGCAGGTTCTGAGATGATTTGCAAAATTCCATTGAAGAAATGAAATTCTTTTTAACAATTAAAAACAAATTATGCGGGAAAGGCTGATCGTGTCTGCGTTCACTTTTGCGACCACTAAACGGAACGATGACATCCTCGACCTCGGAACTTCGATTGCAATAAGTAATTCGGTCAGCGACTTTTTATTATTCCAGTTACGACGATCATTTATTTCAAGACCAACACGTTCCAAAACGAATCAAAACGGGATCGAAAAAATGATCAGTTCTTAAGAATGAAGCCAAGTCGACTCAGATTATTTGCAACGGTCTCGTCTATAACCGTCAATTTTCTCATTTTAAAATCCTATAGACGCGAATATATTATGAATCAAATTTTTGTTCAAATATATATGAACTTTGTTGTTGGTCGAGGTTTGACAACACTGATCGTAAATTAGTGCAAGCGTGAATACTTTACAATTGACATTGAAGCGACCAGAAATCAGTGAAAAGCTAAACAAATTGCCGTGACCTGAACGCTTACTAAACAAAATGCATAGATCGTATAACTCCTAGTATCCACGTTGGATTTAGGTAAACCTGTCAGTTGCACTACTGGAATAACTATGTATAAATTGGCTCTGTGAACATGTGACTTTTTAAACTAACCACAAAAAGTAAAATTTTTTAGGTGCCATGACGCGAATCGGGGCATCACTCGCAGGGACAGTAAACGATCGAATGAAACTAGTTCGTAACGAGCATTATCCGATGAGCCCAATGGTTCGGAAAATATATTTCAGTTTAGTGCTGCAAACGCTTCCTATTGCATCAATTGTGATAGTTTGCTTTAGTTTCATTTACTCATAAGAACTTTACACTCAGTCGCCTCTTCTAAGTGGCATTCTACAGCTATTCGAGTTTCCCTACAATGTTAATAACTTGCCTATTCTAAATTGCGGTATTTTACAGGCGCATTTTCCCTATGAATGCAGCAGGAAACCTGATACGTCGTCTGTTTCGTCGTTGTTGGTGGGCTGTTGACTTGTTTGAATGTGATTCTGTATCGATTGGTTTAATATAAGGTGGGTCCATTTCAAGTGTTTCCGGGTGCTACATCCGCACAGACTTGTTAGTACCATTGCACCACAAGTGCAGCAGGGTATGAAAAGCCAGTCACGGTAAAAAAAAAATTTCCGTTTTCGGCAACAGCAAAACAGGCCCTGCTCCTACGTACGTTAATCTTATTACATCGCCAAGAGCATTCAAAACGAAGTTTTCAAACTTTCAAGCAGTGTGACAGTATCTATTAAAATAACTGATGAGATAAAAATTCACAATGGAAAAGACCATTTCTAACGGAAAATAGGCGGAAAAGGTTTCCACACACAATACGATTAGTTTCGACGCGACTCTTTTCTATTTTGTTTTATTGAAGATTACCTTCGGAAGTCCTTAAAATGTTCCCCTATTTTTGAGATTTCCGCTGTGTTAACGTCGAGTACCCTGCTCCTCTCTAAGTGCTTGTTGATTACTAGAACGCTTATGTTCTGTTATTTTTGAAACGTTATTAAGGTAATCGTTTTGCTTGGGACAGTGATTTTTGTTGAAGTCTAGAAAAGGCGAAAGAGGCAGAAACTCTATTCTACTAAAGTCAAGTCAGAACTAGTGTCTAGTAGTGTAGCAAAATGTATTCATTAAATGTGCTTTCGCGTTATATATTAATAACACACTTGTAACTCTTTATGCGAAGAAATTCGCACAGATTCCCATAATTTACATTCCCATAGTTCTGCTCTTCTGAAAGGTGTTTGTAAGTTTTCACAGCATTATATTATTAAAAATATTCTAACCGATCAATTGATAAACTAATTCTTTCGCTTAAAAATCTGACTGTACAGTTCAAATTTTGGATATGGATGATGTTTTTGCAACATTATGTCCAACGCTTACGAGTTATTGCCGTATTATAAAGTGAGCATTAGAGAGACTACCAGATATTGTATAATTTCCTTTTTTTTTTTTTAATATACGCAACTATTTCCTTACTTGGCATTGATCATCGTGTACAGTGCGCTATAAGTCATCTGGAAAAATCCTATTTAAAACGTTCTTTGGTCCGTATTTATTATGGAAACTCAGTTTTATTCGTAACACCTTTATAATCAGTTGACGCCGTTTCCAACCTATAGTTAGCTGGCTTAGTTGCTTAGCCTGTGCTGAGTCTCTTGCTAATGTCTTTTCGTTAGACCCATAGACATATTAACGTATGTGTTGATTTCATAAGAATTTCTAGTCCCATATATTCTAGTCCCTCATGCTAGGCAGAAATGTTGGTGTGTTTCTTCACGCGAACACTTAGTGTAGACTAATTAAACGTACTTGCAGAAATTTAAGAAGAACTTAGATAAAAACAAAGAGGCGGACAAGAAACGCTTCGGAGAAGAAGAAGCAATTCATTTGCAATCATCTTTTTAAGTTAGTCATGTTTTTCGGTCGACTTGCACGAACTTCTAGTAGTAGTATGTTATTTAAATAGCTGTTGGCATGACAGTATAATCTTGATGTAAACTTGATTTGACCGTATCGTATACGGGCCGTGTACCGTCGTCGGGCAGAGCATAAACATCAGGAGGTACGCAAAGAGATTGTAATTTTGATAGATATGAGTCAAATGGTTCCGGATGCGGATAGCCGGCTGGATGATGAACAGTGTATGGATGGTGGGGGGCTGCTGTTGCATGTGATAACGGTGGTAGGGCAGTTGGGCCTGTTGACGCTGCTGGCAGTGGTGGCGGTGGTGGCATAGCAGCCGAATGTGCCGATGATAACGGGTGCATAGCACTGCCGTACATAGAAACACCAGTGCTACTGGCTGCAACAGAAGGTGTAGCCAATGGACTCGGTGGTATTAAGGTCGGGTGTGTAGTGTACGCGGTTGGCGGTTGATTACTGACATTTGATGTACATACATTGCTATTAGACATTGAAGCCGTAGGTGCGTGTCCGCCAGCTGGCGGTATTCGTACATGTTCCAATAATGTAATGACATTATTGCGTAGACTTTCGTAGTAATTATTTATATTAGAAGGAACTGTTGAAGTTGTAGAAGTTGAGCTTACCGTCGATGGCGTCTCATAAACTGCATTATGCGTAAGATTATTATTAGCGCTATTGTTGTTATTATTGTTTGTTTCGTTTAAATGGCCGGTGTTAAGGCCGGTGAAGGCGTTCGGGATGGTGGAGTTTGAGTTGGAGTTGTTCGTACCGGAGCCGTTGTTGAGGTTGTCACTACTAAGCGTGCTGGCCGTGGTGCTGGAGGAGACTGCTGCAAGAGCTGTTGTTCCTCCAGCGCTGCCAGTCACCGCAGCGAGAGCACGCTGTTGATGAGCACTCATCGGAGAAGTCTCCTAAAATTAAAATAATTCAAACACATTTCAATTAATTTTTAAATAGCATTTTAATATAATTTAAATTTGGTTAAATGCGTCTTATGTAAAAACCAAGGAAAATTAAATATTGAAAGTAAATATCTATATATTTGTCTTCTAGATCATCGAACATTAAATAGCTCCAAAGGAAAACGAACTACAACGTTTATCTTCTTTTCTTTTTTTTTTTTTTCTTGAAGGAGATCTTAAGGATTGCTTCTTATTTAAAAATATACAGCAGTTATATGTTTGGCGAAGGAGACTTCCAACGCATGGACGATATTGACTGGCATGATAAATATTTTCACCAAATGTTGTGTTTTAAGATTTGGTGAGCGTATTTGCCGGTAGATCACTGCTGACTCTAGAACACTAGAGGTAAAGAGACGAAATTTTAACTCCTCCCGTGAATTTATATTAAACGATTGAAAATTATGCTATATGCAAAGTGGTGGAGATGAAATTTTCGATTCGCAGCACTAGCTTCTATAAATCTAATTGTGTGATAAAGCAGATACCCATGACTTTGATATGTGTTTTTTCTATGATCGGCCTCGATGACGATCAATAAGGTTTATAGGGAAAGAGGATTGAACAGTAAGGACTACTGCTAATTAATTTGTTCCAAGGCCGAGCATAATTGCTAAAGAGCGATGCGCGACGATAGCGTGTTGTGGAGTATGCAGTCAACTCCAGAACGCATGCGTTTGAACGCTGAGAGAGCCGCGTATTCCTGTTGAAGGAGTTAGTTGGTGAGAAAATCTTTTTTACCTTTACCGAACCCTTGCCGTGGACACAATTTGTGCATAAGCCTAACGCGGTCCACATTACGCCAATGCTCAAAGGAGTCGAGAATTTTGGACACACTTTCCTCGTCCACGAGCATCTAAGGTTTGATCTCAGAATATGTATACGTACATGGGTTTTTTCAGTGTGATGGAATTTTTTAAGAAGTACATGTGATATGTGTTGTTTTGACGATTTTCGATTTTATCTTCACATTTGAGAACAGTCAGTATTGGCGGCAGATTACGGAGAGACTGCCAATCTGAGCGATTACTGCTGAAAAGACCAATTCATTGGACTTGCTATTTGATGAGAAATTTATTGGACGAAATGATCCACTGAAGGGATCTCCAAGATGAGGTGGCTCAAGATGAAGTCTTGTTCTTTATAAGTATTAAGTCGGTTACAGTTTACGCTTTAAAAGCCCTGATAGAGCAAGCATTGGACTATTAATGTAATTAACGTCGCTAATTAACTGAAAAAGTGGTCGAATTCAATCCGTATAATCTAATTCTAGACGACTCACAGCACCTGAAAATCAAAAGTCACAATGCTATCTTTCACAGGGGAATAAAATTAATATTAAAGTCCATTTAGTACGTGAGTAGTTTATTTCCGTTGAAAGTTTTCTCACTTTAAAAACACACCTTTATATCGTATATATATATATATATACATATTGTCAGCAAGTCCTTGAATCGACTAAGCTGATTTTTTAACTTTAGTTGAGGATATTGTTAAAAAAAATTGAAAATCTAGAAAATCAATAGATGGCTTACTTTAGACTTACTTGTTCAGGACAAGTAATAGTAAATGAAAGGGCAGAACTATATGCAAATTCCTTTGTTATGATTAAAATAAATATCAAATCAGAATTGAAGCCCTTTAAGATCCATTCCTTAATGAATGATATTAAGCTGAAATGAATTTAATAAATGAATTTTCTGTACGCAGCACGATTGCGAGAGATATGGAAAACATGTTTCTCTTCTGTCTTTTATCCATATTTTATTAATATAGATCATTATAAATGCATTGAGATTCGATTCAATGAGGCTTAACACCACTTCTCGCATTTCTTATATACGCAGCTTCCAATAACCAACCAGCTCCACATGTATTCCTGACCAGCAATCCAAAGACTTATGAAAAAATCAAGAGAATAAACAACAAAAAGTAAAGAAATTAAAAGACATATTTGTATATAACGATGATATAAGGAACGAAAAAAAAGTTTTTGTATATAAAGAGAAAATAACAAAACAAAAAAAAAAAAATTGTGACGCCCTTTTCTGATGGTTTGCTTGTGAAAAAATTCAAAACGGAAGAGAAAAAAAAAAAATTGGATGTGAAGCCAACAGCAACAACAAGAGCAGCGAACAAACTCCAATGTAATATGTTGAGTTCATAGGGTGGTAAGATTCGCTTAACGGTAGTTGGTTGCGCTCGTTTGGAATCGTTTATATTCAAACAGGGGGAGCCTCTACGCAAAATTACATAAATACACACTCGTATATATTGTCCTCTGGGGAGACCAAAGGTTAAACAACACAAAACAATCTCTTGTGACGTAAACCAACGAAAGAGAAAGAAATGAAAAAATAGAAAACGAGAGCAAGAGCGAGAGCGAGAGCTAGAGTAAGTAACACTCACACGAATATATTTACATGGCACGAATATATCGGTATGGTCTGGTGTTAACTGACAACTACAGCGATATAGAAAATTGTACGGGAGTAGGGCATGAGTTTCTACGACCGAGCAAAAATATAAATTATATTAAATTTCGCTATTTGTTGATTTATTTGCCCATAGCTTTTCTGATGTTCTGTTCACATCTCCTTAAATGCATATGAGTAGTAATGGTATGCGTACTTATGCATGTCGACTATGAAATTAAGGTGTGGTAGGAGAAAACTTCCAGTGCATCTTGCGCATGGACACTCAAAACTAACATTCTTTAGGGATTTTTTTTTTTTTTTTTTTTTTTGTTGCTGCCTTTTTAGGGGTTGTTGCCTTCTTAGTGACAGATGCAACACAACAATTGCATTCAACTCACATTTTCATTGGTGGAATGATTAAGCATTATTTAGGTGTTGTTAGTTATGATAGAAAAAAAGTGGGAGACGCCATTTTGAAAGTTTGCATTGTGACATTCATTAAAGTCAAATGATTTATGAATTAAATATAAATTTTAGTTTCCTGAGAATTAGTTTAATTTAGTCCAAACTTGAAGATCTAATGAGCTGGAATGAAGCCCCAAATTCAATTGACAAAACATATGAGCCACGTACCAAATTTTGAAGGTAACCGAAGGCCCCTAAATTTGGGTAAATAAATTCTAAAAACATTTAAACAACCATATATATACCGTATATGATAAATTTAATGTGCTATTAAAAGAGACGACATCAACTATCTTTGCAAACTCGTATTCGAAACAAGAGAGCTTAAGTTGTAGTGATTCCATAACGTTCTTTGTAGATTTTCGATGTCGAAAAATTTCTTAGCGTTTTTCTGCAAATGCTTACGTTATTCAAAAATATTTAATAAAAAATTTAACACATTCTTAGAATCTGTCTGTGCTTTTTCTACAATGAGGTACGAGTCCATTCTTTTATAGCCGATTTCACAATTTCACAATTTATAGTGAGAATAGAGGCGGAGAGGAGATGCGCAATGGATCGGAAGCGACGGGAAAGATAAATGGACGTTCTCTGATAAGGTAAACTATTGCCTTACGCAGCTCCCAACTGGTCATAGTTGATTCCTATTATTTACACAGAGTCGGACATGATAGCTTATCAGTGTGCCCGAGCTGCACAAACATGGAACGATGGTGTGGTGTATGCGATGTTGAATTGCCCAAAATTCGTGGTATTGTCGATTAATCCAGGTGGACTTCGCACGAGATGGTGTAATTCGAAGCTCTGCGACCAAGCTGCTCTAGGGATTAATGTGGCTAGACTGACAGCGGATAGAGAGTAAGGGCAGTGTAAATACTTAAGCGAATGCATCACGCCAGGCGAATAGCACTAACTGCAACCAGTTTCCACAAAATGACATTCAAGGGCTATCCCGCGGAGGAGGGTAGTCGATGAAGTGTGTGTCGGGGAGAGTTTTGTTATGTGGCGCTATGGACGGCGAATCGTACATGGTATTAGTATGTGCCCGGAGTAGCTAGCGAAGGTTTCTACTTCCAGCTCGCATAGCGAAAGAAAGACACTCACCCACCAACTATCCCACACACACACACACACACACACACACACACTCACACACATGCATTACTTACGAACCGGAATCGGTCAATGATGTAAAGGGCAATTAGTCTATTGCGCCATTTCACGCTTTTCAAAAAAATCTTGTAAATGACAATTGAAACAATATTGTAATCATATGCCTACTTAAGGAATGTATATAGAAAATCTTACACAATAAAGCATATAATGACAAACGTTTTAAAAATCTAAAAAGAAAATCATTAATTGTGATTATAATATATACTCATATATACACATATATCCTTAGAATATGTATATATATTTCTGGACGTTAAGAACTGTTTGTCGTATAAAGTATAATGCGTAGGTAGTGAATATACAAATCTGATATATACTAATGCAGAAACCTGGTTAGTTGAATTAGAGCCAATTGTAGATATCTATCGCCGTAGAGCTTTTCAATAATTACATTGCAAATGGTATCGGAAGAACATCTCACTCAAAAATTGCAATGGCCCGCCAGGTACTCTCCATAAAATAGTCAAGTAAAGAATGGAAATGTTGGCAACATAGTTCAATGTGTGCCCTCTTTCTAAATTTCGAGTAATAAGTCAAACGCAAAAACCTCAAGCAAAAGGTCTACTACTACTACCAACGATCAACTGTTGACGGCTCAAGGGTGTACTTTAGCAGCTTTATAGGGGTAGTGTACAATCCCGCATTAGACAAATCCAACATTAGCGAAATTTCTTTGACGTTTCACGTTCGCTGTTTTCCTTCCCGTAAAAAAAAAAAAAAAGAGGGAGAAATATAACTCAAAATGTCTCTGGCTTTCGTTGACTTTGGTTGTACTTGTATGTGTTTCTAAACTTTATAATTGTCCTCGAAAGTTCGGCATAATTTTCCGTTTCACTTTATAAAAATTTTTCAACCTAATTTTGGTTTTTATTTTGTTTTATGTTTTATTGTTATTCTTATTTTTTTTTATTTTGTTTTTTTTTTTTTTTAATTTTAACCTAAGTGAAAATAAACTTTTGTAGTAAAACTTTGTTTTGCCAAAGAGTTAAAAATGTTTGCAAAGCTCACTATAACCGTCTGAGCTGAATTAAAAAAAGTTTAACATAAAATCGTGTGAAAGTGTTTTGACAGTTAACATTGATGAAAGCTGAAGACGCAAAAGAAACCTTCTAAAAAAAAAAAAAAAAAAAAAAAAAAAAAAAGAATAAAAAAACCGGAAATGACGAACAAAGTTGTATTACTTTCCATAAAAATTAATTGATAAACTTTGATAAAACATATAACTGGTAGCTGGTGGTGTGTCAAATGGCTGCGGAGAGGCGGCGCAAATGATTATGAAGTCAGTGCTCTCCGCAAAAACTTAAAAGTGTAAAATATATATGCATTTTTTTTTTTTTTTTTTTTTTAACTAACAAAAAGAAAGTTAGGGCGAAATTAGAATTCCATGTTTGGCTGGTTGGCACAGTTGGTGAAAAAGTTACGACGGCGCGTTAAGCAAAGTTTTTTTTTTTTTTTGTCGTCGTTGTTGCTATATTGTTGTTTGAAAACTCCAAGTTCGGATGGGTGCAAAACTTGCAGCCAAACCAAAGACTTTTGAGACGTCCTTGAAAACTTATTTAAAAGAAAGTTTAGACGAGAATACACATACCAAACACATACATTCTTAAGTTTTTCCAACTCTTTTTTCTTTTTTTTTTTTTTTTTTTTCTTTCGCAGTCAGTAGGAAGTGAATAAGATATAAAGAAAAACGTACAAGTTTTTAATTGGATTTAAAAAAAAAAAAAAAACAAAAAAAACGAAAAACAAATAAATAAATAAATAAATAAATAAATAAAAGCAATAGCAAAACGTAACTAAAACTTTTGTAAGCGTCGGGAGAGAACAGTTAGGTGTGTAGAAGTAAATTGAAAAGAAATCAATATTGTGTAAACATTGGGAATACTTATTATTGTTTGCCTCAACGAACCTGAGCCTACGTACCCTATCGCTAGTGTTCAATTGTGACTCCATGGCATTTATGTCTGACTTCAGGCGCAGCATCTGCGATTCAACCCGCGCATTCTCTCGCTGCAACTCGGAGATTTCCGCTTCTAAGGTATTAAGATCTTCCGAGCTTGGTTCGGTGCGTCCGTCACTTGTTGCAGTGTTAATGCCATTACCGGTCGTTGATGTCGAGTGCATACCGTCCGGTATAATTGAAGAGCCTGTCGAAGAAACGCTTGAAAGGGCCGACGAACTGCTGGCATTGTTGGAAGAGGCGGCGGAAGCTGCAATCGCTGAGCCCACACCAGTCATCATCATATCCATTCCGACTAAAGAATAGAGAAAAATAATGCGAAAATTTGGTTAACTTAAGTTTCATGGCTTGCAGATTAATTGCAATTTCAACAATAAACGTGCGCGTGTGCTAAGAAATTTTAATAAGAGTGTTAAGGAGAGGTTCGGAATGAAAGAGGATTTTTTTTTTTTTGGTTTCAAAATATTTTTTCAAACTCGCTTACCTTATATATTCGCTTAGGCACTTATTGCGATGTCTTTAAAAAACTTGAAGCTTTTTTTTATTATTATTATTGTTTTTTTTTTTGGTTTTCTTTTTTCTTTTTTTTTTTCTCTTTTTTTTTTTTTTCTTTAATATCAGGTCAAGTTGTCTTTTTTAGTCTTTTTCTTTGAAAATTGTTTTGAAGTTTTGTTGGATAGTTATGACACGCATTTTGACTCGTCTGTTTGTTTTTGTTTTTTTAATGCTGTTCTATGAACGTATTTTAACATTTTTACAGTAGATATTCGGCACCGATACAAAACGTCGCGTAATCTTAACCAAAAACGCATCATGAAACGAAAGGAAAAAAAGAATTGAAATAAATTAGAATCAAACGTAATTTTTGGTTTCTTTTTTTTTTTTTTTTTTTTGTTTGTTCTTAAATTTCTTATGTCATTAGAATTTTCAATCAAATTTGCATACAAAAATTTTGAAAAAAATTATATTAAAAAACCTAACAATTGAAAAGCAAAAAATAATATAGAAATATAAGTAGTAAGTAGAACTGAGAATTTTTTTCAAACGTCAACTGAAGAAAAATTTGTTAGCACACGCACACACAACAACACAAGTAAAATTAAATATCATTTAAGTGTTAGTCGACAATCTACTCTATAATAATAACTTTGTTGCTACTACTCAATAATCAATTAATTGCTTGCGCAATGCTCTAAAGGAGTCAATGCTTACCTGTATAGCCTTTAGGATACACCATAGTGACCTCATCAAATTTAGGTTTCTTAATTGCCTGCGAAGCGGAACCGCAGCCTAAAAATGTAAAAGTAGATTCCGGTCAGTGTATCGATAAGATGAATAGCGGCAAGATGGCATTTGCTTTTATTACCATCAAATTTCATAGCTGTCGCTGCAGCAACGGCTGCTTTATGCTGCTCTACAGTACCACCAGCTTCCAAGACCCGCATCTTATTACGATTAGCGATCGGACAGCCAGAAGCACTAAATTAAATATAAATAAACAAATAAATAAAATTACAATAACTGACTTGGCGCCAATATCAAGCTATTTTATACTCGACACCATTATGGCTTACGGGACTTGCGAACGAACAACAGTTATTACCTACCTCCTTTAGATTACTGTGAAGTATATAATTTGTTCACATCACTAAATTGATTGAATATGCAATTCACTGTAAAATTGGCTCTTTTTTTTTGCCGTATATATCATAACGCGTTCATAAATTCATTCATTGGATTCGCTATATGTTTTCTGCTAATTTATGACGAGTATTAGTGCAATGAAAGCTTGCACATTGTAATACCTTGCCTAGGATGACTTTATTGATATGACTCAACGCTAATTGTAGACAGCTCAACGCTGGCAAAAATGGATGACATCCACGAGTTGTGTATGTAATATCATAGGGCGTATTTACTTGTGTGTCGGCTTCGAGTCCAATATCGTTTAAAAATTGTTTAAAAAGCGTCCACTTTTTTATTAGTGATAGACGTTCAATGTAATTAAAGTGTTAAAGGGTCAACTTTAAACTAAAGCGATAATGAACTATTGTTCTGAGGAAATGCGCAGACCTCAAACGTTTCGGACACCAAGTTAGAAAATCTTTTTTCTTTTTTTTTGGGAAGCTATCAGTATCAACAATGGTGCAGAGTACAATCGCTGTATACTTATGGGAATTATTTAAATCTATTGAAAATTACCTCCGATGCGATAAGAATTTACCCGTTGAGTGGCCGGAACCATCGCAACCCGGTATTGGACATCTAAGCGTTAGGGCATAACTTGAGAAAAACTTTTTCGAAATTTTCTTCCTAAATTTTGTAACTTACCTCAGTGGTTCGGAGTCTTGCCCATCTCTAGGCTTGCTTTTGGGTTTGTTGGCACGTGGACAACCGGACAAGCTACGATGGGAAGAATAGTTGCCGGTAACATGGCCTGAACCGTCGCAGCCTGGTGTCGGACATTTAAGTTCTTGTGAATGTGGCTGCAAGTGATTGCGGTCTGTGCGCGGGCAGCCGGTTAAGCTATAACAAAGGAAAAACCACTCATTATTAAGCATATTATCGAAAAACTTCATTCTATTCGATTTTAAAGTGTTCAGAGTATTTAAAGAAACTTTTTTAGTAATACGGTCTCTTTGCTAACATTTTCGGTTTCGTTTTTTTGAAAACTAAAAGAAAAAAGGATAGTATCTTAAAGGTTATAAGCAAATTAGGTTTTCCACCATCATCAATAATAACCAGCGTTATTTTTAGGTTTTAGATTAACCTTTACTCTCAAAGGGCTGTAAATTTTACGACTGTCCCGTTTCCAACATAGTCTAGTTTTGGTCACACATCTTAATATATGTTAAAGTGACTAGGTGTGTATGTAGATGTGTACATGGGTCATACTAACAAAAGAATTTGTTTGCACAACACGAAATTTTGTTGCATATTTTAAAATATCCTATACATACTTTACTTATTTGCATACACACACACACACACACACACAAACATATATATATATAACCCGAACCCATAAATTATCATCATAATAATGTTATAGAATACATTATATGGAAAGCTAGTGGGCACCTTTCCGCCTGCATGTTTGTTTATTTTCGGATAGTAAAGAAAATTTCAACTTAACAAAGGAAGTAGTGTACTAACCTATCCTTTGTTTTGTCGTGCTGTGGTATGTGTTGTGGAGGTGGCATTGAGTAGCAGGAAGCCGGACTAGTAGAGTAGCCACCCGAAACTGGTGTTGGATATCCGCCTGGACCTACGGCCGTTGCGTAAGGATTGCTACATTGATATGCTGCTGGACCGTAACCATGATAGCCGGTTGGGGGATAATCAGATTGCACTACCATACCATAACCAGGATGTGGGGAATAGCCTGTGTCAAATAAAATGAAAAACAAAATATTCGCAAAGGTTTGTGTTATGGAAAGTGAATTGTCAAAAGCACGGTTATGTGTTCTAAGTAAGAATTATTAAATTAACTTACCGCTGGGATCACGATAACTGTCAATGTAGTGTGAGCCGCCACTATCTGGAGTTGACTCACGACTGTAAGGCCGGGGGCCACCAATGTGACCCACAAGTCCGAATCCTAAGGGACGAGGAGGGCCACTAAAATCAACTGGATCCATTGGAGGTGTTCGAGGTGTACCATTTGCCGCTGCCGTAGGCAAACCTGGGCCAAAACCTGGTGGATGCGTTCCCACCACTACACCATCCGGATGTGTACCATATTGTGGACTAGTAATAATACTGTGCGGTAATCGAGTAACACTTAAATCCAATGTCTGCCCTTGAGGACTTGGCACTTGTGGACTGGCTACATTGGGGCTAGCACCGGGCTGAGGGCTAGTCGTTCCGATGCGCTGATTGTATTGATTATGAGACGCTGGTGAATTGTAGCCGTGTGGACTGGAGGATGTGACGGAATTTGAAGCCGAGAGATCGACAGCTGGTGCTCCTGAAGGTGAGGGTGAGCCACTCTGTTTAGGTTGCTGCTGTGGCTGTTGTGTGGATGTCGATTGTGGTTGGTGGGGCTGTTGCTGTTGTTGTTGTTGCTGATTTTGATATGCTGCAGCTGCAGCGGCTGCTTGTGCGGCAGCCATTTTAACTGATAAATTTATGGCCGAGAAACCAGGTGGCAGCGGTCCCATACTTGGGTCGTAATGATACATAGGTCTAGGATAAATGGGACCGCCGTTAGCCATTTCGTCTTGCTCTACTTTGGCCATCAATAATTGCTGATCTTGCAAGTACTTATGCTGTTGAGCTTGTAAATCATCTGCTGTCTGAGGCAAATACGGATACATATTCCCAGTTCTTTGACCATTGCAGTTGGGATCGTAGCGCTCGAAAGCAGTACTTAAGCCAGAAACGCCTGCTGCTGTCGACGAATCCACATAGGGAGATGATACGCTTGAAGATATCGAAGTTGGCGGATGGGGATCGTAACTGCGAGAACTAGGCGAAAGATTACCACTGTTACCATTGCTGCTAGTTAGCATTTCACTGGTAAAGGACGTGGGCGGCTTGTTTATTGTTTCACCATTCGATAGCTGTTGATGACCGTAACGTATTTGTTCATATTGTTGCTGTTGCTGTTGTTGTTGTTGTTGTTGCTCATTTTGTGATTGTTGTGCTTGCTGTGCATGATGATCATTATGGTAGGTATCACCGGCGTCAGAGGATGTGCCATTGCCCGACGGCATCATTAAACCGGAAGAATTTTCAATGAAAGGACCGCGTTGTTGATGCAAACTTTGCTGCGAATTGTGTGGACTCTGTTGGTCGCCCATTGTATGCGCCTGCATGCCCACATAGCGTGTCATTTCGTTATGTTGTTGTTGTTGCTGTTGTTGTTGCTGTTGAAGAGTTCCGGTTGAATTGTTTGCCGTAGTTTGACCAACATTGGAGGACGTATTGTTGGATGAGCCACCGGTAGCGGCATTATTTGTACGCCCCGCAGTATTTGAATCATTCGTCAAATAAGAATGCATTGGACTTTTATTGTATTCCGTTTTAATATTTGCCACTGGACTGAATTCTGATTTAATAATTGGCATATTGTTGTTGGATGTAGGACTTAATTTGCTGTTGCTGCTATTGCTATTATTATGATTAATACACTGGGTATTGTTATTATTGTTGTTGATGTTATTCAAGTACTGATTCGAAGTGATTTTCAATTTTTCCAAATGATGTAAATCTTTACCACGCACAGCTGTAATTAAAATACACCAATAAGGGTGGTTAAGCTTAAGCGATATGAAAAGCAGTTGACGATGAGGAATTGGGATTTGAAAAATATATTCAATAAACTTAGTTATTTGATGAATGGTTATGTAATTTAGCCGAACCAACCTTCACAAAACTTTTTCTTCTTCTTGTTTTCATCTAAGCTAAAACTGAGAACTTTTAATTGTTTTTGAGCAAAACCTCTATCAGCTTTGGGACAACCGGACAAACTGCGATGAACATTGCGATGAGGCTGAACATGGCCGCGACCATTGCAACCAGGAGTGGGGCACTTAATAATTTGCTCATGCAAAGCCAACACTAAGCGTTTTGTTAATAATAAGAAAAAAGAACAAAATCGATTACAATGCTCGTGTTAATTAATTAAATGAACGGAATTGGCATCAATCCGTTTTATACAGCATACAGCTAGCTACACATAGTAAGTTAACTCTACATAACGAAGAAACGAAAAGGAGTGTTGAACCACCTTACCAGAAAATGTTCGAGAGGATGGGAATTTGATAAAAACGAAGAGAGACAGTGTCAGAGAGAGACAGAGAGGCAGAGAGAGATAAAGAGATAGATAGATAGATAGATAGAGAGAGAGAGAGAGAGAGAGAGAGAGCAATAGGGCCAGTTATTAAGGGAAGATTATGAACACAATTCTTTAGTATAAACACATTTAAGAATATATTTTACTACTTTCACACACAGAGACATGCTTTCAATTTTCAATTAAATAAAGCTGTTTGTCTTCACTTACATTCTGTTGTAACTTTATCACGTTTCGGACAACCTGATAAACTATAAAAGATATGCATACATATATAAAAATAGATTAAATTATTTATTCGCTATTCGATGACAAATGAAATACCTTCGATGATGTGAATACAAGCCCGTTATGTGACCCTGACCACGACAGTTGGGCGTAGGACATTTATTACCATCTATATATAGGTTTTAAAAAATCTCATCAGTGAAAAGCAATCTAACACTGGCAAATTACTTAGAAAAAATTAATGTACGATAAATAATAGAAAAAAACCTGCTTTAATATATAACAAGACCTACACACATACAAACAATACGCCAATATGGTCCATCACATCTTCCGATATTGTCCTACAATTTCAACTCAATAAAGGGAAAGCGAAATTTCCTCGCCTACCGCTATATTGATATCTTATGTAATTATCTGATTTCGTTTGCAATGTCCATTAGAGTGTACATGTGCTTCTGAGCGAAAGCGAAATTTCGATTCAGTATCATAATAATATTTCAAAGAAACTCTCCAAATGTTATTGACTGGAGACTAGCACGATCGTGATTCCTGTAGTACGCTATCGGCAAATCTCGCAAAACTTATCTCGCGAACTTATCTCAATTTATTCGAAGGCATCCAAATCTATGTCGCATATATCGCAGTCGGATAGCTTACATTGCTGCGTAAAGTTTAAACATAACACTTTTCATTTTAAGAAAATACACTTTGACAAGCTTGCAAGTTGGCCGATAAACTGAGGCCAACTCTTACAAAAATTCGTGGTGATTTGTTTGCATATACGCGGTTGGTATACCTTGACTCTTATATGGTGTATACGTAGGCTTTAGCTTTCATCTTTTTATGGAGGTATTTAACAAATGATCTGGAATTCACCACCGATAGCGGAGGCAAGCAAAGAAAAAGAAAAAAAAATTATTTGAAATGGACTATTATCGCATGCTCGCTCAGGCGAGGTTAAGGTATTCTATTTGCCTCAGGAACTGGATACTAAAGACTCTTTTGAAAGAGAAAATAAAAAGCGTCTAGGATCAGATTGATGCTCACGATAACGACGCTTATTCAATTTTGTAAAGCGATGGCGGATTAAAGGTCTTTTTTCTTAACTGAAAAAAAAAAAAAAAAAAAAAAACCGCGCACCGAGATTAATTATATTTTAAAGCTTAGTTTACTATTTTTAATTAATTTAAATATTAATTGTTGTTGCAAAATTTTTTTTTATTCTTAAAAGCGATATTATGATACTACGTAGTTTATGTTGCGTTATGTAAGAGCGTATGTGTTGTATTTTGAGTATGTGTTGTTATCTATTTTTAATATATGTATGTATTTTTTGAAAACACCCGCTTTATTGGATATAAAAATTTATACACGTTGCACAATAGTACAATGCAAGGAGATGCTTGAAATTCGCAAAATATGTTCACTTCTCGACTTTAGCACGCTTGCTATCTACTTGCTTGTAAGTGTATGCCATATATCACACATGTCACATACACATTAACGAATTTAATAATTTTTAATAAATACTGCTATTGTGCTTATGAGCGAAAAAATATATTTTTTGTAATTACAAAAGTGCAAACAACAAAACACTCCATATAAGAAAAAAAAAATAAATTTAATTCATATTTGAAATTATAAGAATGTACTCAGTGCGTATACGAAGTAAAGAGTACATCTTATTAGTTAGCCACATTTTCTCACTTGCCTCTTTAGTATCATTCAATCCGGATGGATGAGGGCAACGATTATTCATTCTCTGGCTTTGAATACGGTAGAAGGAACTGAGGATCTTATTACTTAAGTTTCATTTCAGCGTCGGTGCCGACACATACACAAATACTCTTTTGAAATTGAAACTATGAAGCATAGAGCTAACCAGCGCCGCATGCCATATTATCGATGCAGGTTTCAAACAGTGTTGTAGGCATCTTTAAATCCTAAGAGGTTAATTTAACCAGTTGGGCTAGGCATACTTAAATGTACTGGAAACGCTATATATTAAATGGTTGAAGAATCAGTCTCAATCGAATATAAATTCTTTCATGGCTTTTTACTTAAATATTAATTGATCTTACATGCGCGAAACTATGCTCTGAAGTTTGCTGACTTGCTGTGTGCTTGTCTAAAAAAGCAAAAAAAAAAAAAAAAAAAAAAAAAGCAAGAGAAGCAAGAAAAATCTTCTACTATTTATACGCATACGCTCTTATATATGCATACATTGAAAATCTCCTACCCTGTAATCTATAAGTGTTCAGTAATTAATTAAAAAGTAAGATACTGCTGTGCGAGCCGTTGGAAAAAAGCTTCCAATGAACGTCAAGAACTTTTCACAAAATTTTTTCCTAAATAATTAATTAAAATTTGATGGAAAACATTTGCTGAATTATTTACTCTATGGAACAAACACACACATATGACTTTACGTTCAAACCCTTACGCACAAGAAGAAAGAAAGACGAAAAAAAAAAAAAAAAAAAAAAAAAGGAAGAAAAAAAAAAAACCTGTCTACTCGCAAAATAGACACACATGAGAAACAAAAAACAAGGACGGCAATGCGAAAGTGTATCTAATGCGACGCATTCTTATTAAGAATAATCAAGTGAAAGGAGCAAAGGGTTTTGGTAAAAAATTTTAGAAAATATTTTATACATCAAACATTGAATGCAAGGAAAGCGGTTTGAGATGAGTTGGGTTTTCAGTGTCACATACATATGATATTTACTCGTCTCTTTCTCTCGCTCTTCCGCTTTTTATATCTTTCTCCCTGTCGTAGCAAGAAAAACTTAACTTATCTTCTAAATTGAATTTAATTAAAACCAAAACACAACAACAAAGAAGTACTCTAAGGTAAACCCTTTGCCTGGCATAAATTACAAAATAAAAAAAGTCTTGGGTTTTTGTTTTTTTTTTGTTTCTATTTTGAATATTGCGATCTCTTTTACGCACGCACGTTTAAGATAAGCTGTAGACACATTAATCAAAAAAAATTTTATGAAATGTCAATCATTTACGACTGTGTATATATATGTGGAAAATATTATCTATTCTAAGTGTTGTGCGTTCGTTCGTTCGTTTGTTCGTTTGCTCGTTTGTTCGTTGGCACGTTCAGTTCCTTCCACTCCTGGAAAAGCTTTTAAGCTTAATCACTAAAATATTAGCTTAGACAGAAAACTTCGACTAATGACTTATTAGTATTTTCTGAAAGGAGAAACTATTTAAAAAGTCATTCAAATTATGCCATGAAAGAATAAATAAATGCGTATGCACACACACTCAATTATACGCACACATATGATAAGTATTGTGCTTATTATTACAACCAGTAATGCTGTCATAATGACAAAATAAATATGCGTAAGTGGTTTTTGGAACGTGCTTTTGTATTTCAAACTCTTCGTTTACCGCTCTTCTCGCTTATCCGCCTACTTACAACCATTATTATTTTATGCTCTACTATTTATATGAAACTAATAATTTTTGCTTTTCCACGCACAACGCACATAACAGCAGACAGTCATGAATGTTATGCACGGAAATTAGTGTATGACAAAATTTTGTTGTTGTTATTATTATTATTGCCGCTGTTGTTGTATTTAGGGTTTTTGCCTGAATCTCTTGCTCATTCCCAAGTAACATTTCTCCATTTGATAGCTTTAATGTTATGCTTCACTGGCAAGGGTTTCGCTGTCTTGTTAGCTCATGCTGTTACTCCTTCTTTTAATGTTCATACGTCTTACATGCTATACATGGCAAGAAGGAAGAAATGTCTGTCTGTCTATCAATGTTCAGTTAGTTTAGGTTTAGGTTTCCAGACAAAAAAAAATTAAAAAATAAAACAAAATAAAACAAAATAAAAAACAAAAACACTTTAAATGTTAGCAAAATGCGCAAATAATAACAATACTTATAATTACAAAGCGTGTGTTTAAATACGTTTAACTACTACTACTACTACTACTACTACTACTAGCATTACCACTACTACAACTAACTAACAAATAACTACTTGTTTATTTCGTCTGCTAGATGGGTATGAGTGAAGTCGCAAGAGTTAAGGGTGTAAGCGTTTAAGAAATGTACAACATATGCTTAGTTTGCGGGATACCACGTAATAATGCATATTTGTTTAAACTGTCAATGACATTTGTTAGCTAAACAAAAAGGAACAGTTCGGAGCAATTGTTTACTAAATGCTGGTAATTTTCGTTTGATTTTCTTCTCCTTCTCCTTCTCCTTTTCCTTTTACTTTTTTTTTTTTTTTTTTTTTTTGTTCTTCTTCGATGAATGCCCTCCTATGTGCGCTAATTTTAATAATATTGAACTCAAAATTCATATATAATTTGCATTTAGAGCTGCTTAACACTAACTCTTTTAGTCAGCTCAATATATTTTAGACTATTATAGCATTATCAATACTTCTTTATAGATTTTATGTTCAAAACATAGCATCACGCAACCATCCAAGTAAAAAATAATTGCCAATAACAGTTATCTTGGACACAGATGCTATATATCGAAAAATTACCTCTCATACGAACATACATTTCAGAAATTTGTTTCCTTCTGTATCTACGATTCTATTCCCGATCCTCTTATATCCTCGATTCTCTCCAAAAGTGCAAAATTTTAAATCAATAAAAATTGTAATAAAAAAAATTAATTGTAAGAGAAATAACATTTTAACCATTTCAGAAAAATGTTGCTTTCACATTTAGAGCAATTAGGATATATGTATATATAGTCCCTTTGAAGGGAACCTCAGATATTTACCAATAATTGTTAAATGAACCATTTTGTGCTGTTCATAGTCGTTACGAATCCGGATCATATTCAAAATTTCAAAATTAATAGCATTGATAAACGTAAAAGTCCCGCTAAGACGGACTGACAGACAAGCACATAATTGAATTGAAGAAATTTTCTATCCTCCAGTAGTCTATATAAGGAGATGTAAAAGTATTACATTTCGCCACGGTTCACTATTAAATACCCCACCCACTGCTTGCTGTTATTCATACAACGTCTTTTCAAAATGACATGTTATATGGGGGGAGCGGTCGAAAAATTAATCTGATCCGAAACCCTTTTCCAGTGTTCGGTGTTGGGTGTTGGGTCACAACCCGTTAGTGTACGAAATTTCATTAAAATATCTTAAAAATTACACACAAGAGTATAAAGCGGATAGCCGGACAGCCGGACAGATAAGCTAAGAATCAATATTAAATTGATCGGTGTAACAAAACTTGAAACAACACAAGCGGCAAGTGAGGTTGAAAAATGTATTTAAGGATTTTTGAATAAGTCTTCATGTATTACTGAGAATATCAGGCACCAGTATTGTGTAGTACTTATTCGATGCGTTTAGCTTGTTAGCGATGGAAGGCATTTATTCATTGTACCGCCCACAATCTACATAAAATCGACTATTTTATAACATATATTGATATAAGCAATGAATTTGAATAACTGTAAATTCAACTTCTCCATAATTAAATTCATATGGCAAAGGAAGACGACAACTATTTAACGAAGCATTAGGACGGTTATTGGAGTTGCATGCCACACAAGGACATGATATATATATATGCTTCACTGATAGAATAATCGGAATGATTTTGTGCACGGATATCTAAACTCAATTTTCCGTTATGTAAAGGAATTTAATAGCAAGGAGACGGACGGATAGACAACCAAGCTTAATTCGATGGCAAATCTTAATCTAGTCTACCTTTTATCATTATATATGATTTTTTTTTTTTTTTTTTAATGTTTCTTTTTATAAGAAGTGGATGTAATAACCGAAACTATATCTACAATATATGTACAGCATTGTTATGCTTGCTATATAGTAATATATATATCAGGTATTTTTCAAATGTAATCATATTACTGAAAAGGCTATAGGGATTCGTTTAGTAAATTGATCACATTCGCAAAATAGATGATATCGACTGGGTTCAATGGATCCAACTAAACATTTAGTCGTCACCGTGCACCAGTGTTGTTAGCGTTGTTTCAGCGGCAAGTAACGTTTACGCTTTTAAGTGTGAATTTTCTCAAAAATTCTTCTTCTTCTTCTTCTTCTTCTCTTGAATAGAATCCTGATATCAATTTTTGGAACTTGGTTAGAGGTTACACTGGATCACACTGAATAATAATCACTGCACGACCATAAAAGAATTATATTATAGTCGACTTACTGCCGCTGATCGATTTTACTTACTATCTTGCGATATAATTATAAAAAGTAAATTTATTCAGATTTTTTATTCGAATATTTTATAAAATCACAATGCACATCACACATTCGAACGAAAATTATTTTTTATCTCATACATACGACACAAGACAACTATGCCATTTCATTCATGCTCGCAAAATTCATTAGTTCCGTTCATCTAAGCCTTTCTAACTCGTAAATATATCGTTTTCGTAAACTCAATGCAACAAGAAGTTAAAGTTAAAGCACACTAGCTTAGGCCAATTCGTATTGAAGGTGTAGACAATGAAAAAAAAAAAAAAACAAGGAAAATGAAAATGAAAAGAAGATAATAACGAACAAAATAAAAGGTAAAACTAAACTAAAAACGTAGTACGTACGACTCATAGGTAATTAATTATTCATGTATGCAACGCAGGAAACTTACCGCGATTAAGATTGCCCGGTGAATATATTGGCGGAAGTATCAAATTGCTCGTCGAATTGATTTGTGATTCGCCGGTCGCTTCGCGATTTATATCTTGCATGACTGAAGCTGCACGACTACCCATACCAGCTGGCTGTAAGGTCGTATAATGTTTGTTGTCATTATTATTATTATTATTATGATTATTACCACTACTGCTATTGATTGTAACAGAATTTTTCGGTGGCTTAATAGATTCTTTTGATTCTTTGACTTCATCGGAATGATGATTGGTTTCAAGCCCACCCGCACTGTTGGGTGGGTTGCCAAGATTTGACGGGGGAATCGTTGGTGGCGGGTAATTTAAGAAAATTGCCGACGATTCTGCTACATTGTAAGGTGAATATGTTGAACAAGAATAGCCGATTAAACTGTTACGTTTTATATCATTGGGCGGTTTAAAGGCGGACGTTGACTCAAAGGTCCCTCTTTTGCGTTGATCATGCGAGAATATTTCTGCATTTTGCGGTGCATTCATGCGCGCCTGATCGTTTTCCTTTTGTCTGTGAAAGCGTAAATGAAAATCAAATGTTGATTGATTGACCTCTCTATTACTAATTGAATGCAATGCATACTTTCGATTCTCTTCAAAGAGATTTTGAAATGCCGGCGGATTTTCATCTTGTTCATTTAGCCTATAGGGATTGTTGCGCGCCTCTGCCGGCCAACTGCCCGATAAACTTTTCAGTGCTGCTTGAGTCTCACGTATTAAAGTCTCATCATCTTCTTGCTCTTGCTCCTCCTTAGATGATCTAACGAATTCACCGTTAACGGTTATAGGTGCGTTACGTTTCTTTTGAGGTACGTTAGCTCTTTCATCTAACTTAGTTAATATATTTAAGTTGATATTTGTGGTGGTATAGTTGTTGTTATTATTGCTATTGCTATTGCTATTGCTCTTGTTATTAATATTATTATTATAATTATTATTATTGTTAGTATCGTCGTCAGGTGGCGTACGCTTTTTACGTTTAACAGCGATCTCATGTTCCTTATCCAGCTTCGTATAACTGTGAGTGCTGTTAATGTTATTGTTGTTATTTTCATTAAAAGTTGTCTCCTTAGTTAAGGGCCGCTTCATCAAAGCCATGTTTTCAATTGGTCGTAGGAAAACGGTTTGCTGCTTAAGATCTATTAGAGAATTGATTTAAAAAAAGCTTAAAACTAATCTAATTGAATACTTAGCAGATAAAGATGCAAGCGTTAGCAAGATCAGTAATTTTTACTTAAACGAATGTTTCAATTTATAATGAAAAATTAATTATTAAACAATTTAAATGAATGGCTGAGCGAAAACTTTAAGATCAAAAACTATTCGATTCGATTGAGATGAAGTGAAGATTTTCAATTCTAATGAACTGTTGTTTTGTTACTCTTCGCAAAAGCGCTTCTGCTATCGAATTTCGGGGATGCTCTCAAAGTAATGTCAAGCGTAGACATGAACGTGACCAAGTCTTTCTAAAGAACGATATGCAAACGAAAACCTTATCATTCATCCGCTATACGAAAACGTTATTTGGAAAGCTTTAGATCTGAGAAATGAGTAATTGATTGAGTAATTGATATTAGTTAAGCGAATTGCTGCATTGCTTCAACAAAACGATTCGTTGACATCGAAATTGCAGACTGCGATCAAGCGAAATTTACTTCCGCAGCAGAGGTAGCATTAGCACTCATTTACTTGAGCAATTAACTTTTTTATAGCTTATCGAAAACAATAACATATATATATATATATATATATATATATTCGTATATATAGACCTATTTAACAATGATCCTAACATAACGCAGCTGACGTAGCCATCATTTCTTGCTTAAGCCAGCAAATTGATCGCGAATTGATAGCGTCCACGGATGGTATTATGTATGTGGTATTAGTGATTACGATCTGGTTAAGTTTATAAAACAGTCGAATAAGACTTTTCATCTCGTCTAATTGAGAATGACTGAAGTGATTCCCATAGCTTAGCGAAAAGAAAAAAAGAAGAAGAAGCAAATATTGCTTCCAGGAACGAACGTTTTCAGGGACAGTTCAGTCAGTTATGCGAGTTGGTTTTGCTAAAAGTGCTTAACATTCATTTCAAATTAATTCAATGAAGTCCTTTGCAAGGTATCATGAATTTGAACCAATTTAATGCAATGCTCTCTGAGACAAATGAAATAATACTGCATCGAGGAAACAAATGTTGTTGTCTATGTTGTTTAGAAATTGAATTTAAAATTAAGTTAAAAATTAATGTGTAGATATTTTTCCCTAATTTTTTTTGTGTTCTTTTTTTTTTTTTTTTTTTTGTTCTGGTTTCTTCATCTTCTCTTAGAAAAACGTATATAAAAAATATTAATTAGGAAAAATTTATTTTTTTATTTCTTGTTGCATTGAATTTGTTGCTTATACTTTCCTTGATTTTCATTAAACTGTTTGAGCATAAAAATTGAAAAAATTTTAAAATATATTATATAATAAAATATATGCTTTACCTATTTCGAAATTAATTATTATTATTTATTATTATTATTATTTTTTTTTTTTTCAATTTATTTTATATGGAATTTTTGAAAAAATTTTTTATTCCATAACATTTCTTATGGTTTTTTTTTGTTTTTGTTCTCGCTACGATTTCAAAGTTTCACAAAACTTTTATAAATATTTTCAAATCGTACATAAAACTTTTTTATTTATCTATTTTTTTTATTTTTATTTTTAATTTTTTTTTTTTATTTTATTTTATTTGTTTTTCTTTTTCGCTTACTTTGGAACTTTACTTCTTTAGTCGGCCCAATTCGAGACACGCCGAAAAAAGTTTTCGCGTCACCAAAGTTTGTATTCGACTTTGCGGAAAGTTTTCTTAGTTACTTGAGGTCGGTTCGCGCTGATTAATCGCAGAGGTTCGGGGCGGATACCATGTCATAATTCATTAATTATAAACTTTCTTTTTGTTCTATTTCGTTGCAAAGTTTTTTTTTACTCCATTTATGCAACACATATCTAGCGAGCGTCTAACACATTTTCATTTCTAGTTTTTAATCGTTACGATGTTTTTGAACTTTATTATTTATATATCTTTTTATATATTATTACTCTTTTGTCTCCCTTAGCTTTTCTAATAAGGTTTTAAGCGAATTTCGCGAAACTGTAACTGTAAGCAAAGTTTGCCAAGTCGCTGTTCAACACTCACTGTCTCTGAATTGCTGGCGTTTTTTGTAATAAACTCACTATAAACTTTTCAAAGTAAAAGCAGCATTAGCTGCAGCAGCACTACAAACGGACTTAGCGCACACGATACAAAAGGAAAACTTTATTGTTGTTTTTTTTTTTTTTTTTGTTTGTTTTTCGTTCAAATTACAAAAATTTTTACTCGATGGAATTATGGCACAGGATGTTTTTTCTCTTCTTCTGTTTTGTTTTGTTATTGTTGTTGTTTTTATTATTATTATTATTATTATTATTATTATTATTATTATTTTTTGGTGTTTATAGTTCACATTCATACACATACACACACGCGCGCACAGACACACACACACACAAACACATTTATGACGGTGTGTGTTGTAGATGTTCTGGCAGAAAACAACACACACAGTTTATTTATTTATTTAGTTTTTATTTTTTTTTTTTACTTTTTCTTTTATTTTTTTTATTTTTTTTTTTTTAATATTCAAGGAAAACTTTAAAGCGCGCCGCGTCTCTACCTGTTCTAAGTTCACAACTAACTGGCATCAAACTACACGAGTAAAGTTTCCCAAAGTTGTCGAACTTTAGCGAATGCACACTGCACATACACACACAAATGTAAAAAGCAACCAAAATAGAAGTCTGCCTGTGGTAAACCGTCTAGCAAACGTTCACTATATACGTAACGTAACGTTCATATGGGGTCCTGCGCTTCTCTGCCTGGGTAATGACGTTGACGAGTTATAGCTGTAAACTAAATGCTAGCAACCAATACCCAATATCCTGTGCATGCTATACAAAATAGACACAACGACGATCCGTGTCTAAGCAGTTGGGGTACATAGCTGCACATACAAACATAACATTTCGGAGTTCTTTTGATAAACAACAGCAATTAGCTTTAACTCTCTCTTCGAAGGTCCACACTGCTAAGCGTTACTTGTACTCTCCATTATCGTTTATAATTTTGTATTACGCATGCTTGCGAATTATTGCTCCTTTTTAGCCTAAAAGAATACTCCGAAAAAATTCCTTTAAAGAACACGTGCTTACATCCAGTGTACAAACAAATCACTGCACTCTCTAAATTCTCATTTACGCCGGCTTTAAAGGTTCAGCCCCAACGTCAATTTCCCCATTTAAACGCATCCACCACCTTTTCATATGTTTCTCATCAAGGTTTAATTGTAAATTCCTTTTAATAACTATGCTGGTGTACGGTTTTCTTTTCTTTTTTTTTTATATATATATATATCGCGAGGCATTTCGTTCTAAATTATTTAAAAACACTATAACAAACTGCGTTGGGTTTTTTTTAGCCTCATCAAATTTTTTCGTTTCTAATTTCGCTGAACTGCAGCTAAATACGCATCTCACGCTGGTCGTGTTTTCTGTGTCAACCACGTTTAATAATACCCGTATATATCTTTATCCTTTCGTCCGAGTTCTTTTTTTCTATTTTTTTTTTCTTTATATATATATATATATATATATATATATATATTGAGTTCTATGCCGTCGGTTATTTGTTTGGCCGCTCATGTGTGTGTGCATGTACGCGTGTGTGTTTGTGCGTTGATTATTTTATATTACATTTCAACTGCATTTCATAATCTGTCATTTTGTGTGTGTGTGTGTGTGTGTGTATGTGTGTATGAGAAAGAGAGAGAGAGAAATAACGAGTCGTTTTTTGCCGTAAGTAAACTATGTTAAGTCAATGTAACTACTATTGCTAAGCCATCCGTTAAATTCAGTGTAGATTACTTTTTACATCGTAAATATTAAAAATTTTAAAATCACATTAAAATATAAATTCGTTTTCCAAAAGCGGTCAAGTCGCCCTCTCATAAATTTCATCTATTGCCTATTCCGCGATCGAATTCTTTCGAGCCACCATCTGATTAGAATTAAAAAAAGTATATAGTTCGATAAACTGACGAGGATGGACCTAAGTGATATTTAATTTTCGATTTTCTTCTCCTGTACAAGGACAATGTACTAAACAGTCCAAACGTTGCTGATAATTTATTTATTTTTTTTGCTTTTTTCGCAAACTGTCAGTGTTAATAATATTTCATATACCGATCATGGGTTAAATGATATGAAAAATAGGCAAAAGTGAAAGTTTTCTTGTTGATGGCACTCGGTTCATTACTATGCAAGAAGATGAAAGAATGGACAAGAAGCAATTATAAATCCAAGTGCTCCAAAGCAATAAATTCTTCTCAAACAGTACACCGGATTGGAAAAAAAGAAAAAGAAGAAAAAGAAGAAGATGAAGATAAAAGTAGTTCTGCATACTAAAGAGTTTGAGTTCCATATGCTTAATAACTACAAATGCATTGTGACACACGGTCCCTAAGCTTTACAAAAAGCGAGAAGAATTTGGCTTTTCAAATGCCACGAGGCCTTTTTTCCTTTGCGAATCATTCCCGTAGGTATCAGTTGATTATATCTTCTAATCTATACAAGTTTATACTGTAAAAATAATTATTTGTGTACTTTTTTCAATTTTTTTTATAGAGCCGAGCTTCCGACTGATAGAGACAATGTTTAGCGAAATAGTACACCACTCCTTGTGATAGGGAAAATATAAACTTTTTACTTCTCAAATAATATTTTGCTTATTACAGCAAGCGTTTCGTGTAACACTACCACTTTAATCCCCTTAAGCCCTAAAGATAGAATTTTAATATAAAAATAAGTCTACAAATTCATCTTGCGCGGTACTAGTGCTCTCTAATGCTCTCTTGATCAATGTCGGGCTTATAATTATTTAAGCGCGCGAATTTATTAAGCAATTTGCTTAAGCAAGGAAAAAAATGGTCATCTGTGGTCAGTGAGGGTTTATTTAAAGCAGTAATCAAAAAACAATATCGCGAAAAATGATGGAAGATGTGCAGCAAATGTTTGTAGCACTGTCTTGAAAAGTAAGTGTTGTTTATTTATGAGAACACACACAAAGCAGTTGTGGAAATACTGCTTTTTTGTGCGTGTGTATGTGAAATGTCAACT